ATATATGTCTGACTTTTAGACATAAAATATCATTTTTCTTAACTATGGAACCACATTTAATTGAGTTGTATTTGGGTCAGTGATTTTTAAAACTATATATTTTATAAGTTAAAATTTTTAAAAATTAATAAAATCTTATACTACTCTATATTGTTATTATTAATTAGAGGCCTGGTGCACGAAATTCATGCATGCGGAGTGTGTCACTCAGCCCAGCCTGCACCCTCTCCAATCTGGGACCCCTTGAGGGATGTCCAACTGCCCTATGGGGATCAGGCCTAAACAGGCAGTCAGACATCCCTCTCACAATCCAGGACTACTGGCTCCCAACTGTTCACCTGCCTGCCTTCCTGATTGCCCCTAATCGCTTCTGCCTGCCAGCCTGATCACCACCTAACCACTTCCCTGCCAGCCTGATTGATGCCTAACTGTTCCCCTGCTAGCCTGATTGTCCATTGAACAAATAATCTCATAAAAATTACAAATTATCATAAGTGCTATGAAAGAAAAGTATATGACTCCATAAATGTGTAGCAGAGAGACCCACTTTCTCTGGAAACTCAGAAAACGTTTCCCTGAGAAAATTAAATCTGACTCAAGAACTAAGGGATGGTGAGGAGGAGAGTTCCAAGCAGAGAAAGGAATACTTTTCCACTTCCAGACATGTTGGCTCCTTCTTTGCTGAAATTTTTATTTCTATATTTGCTGTCTCTTGGCATTTTTCTCTTGAATTTTATTGTATTAGCTATCAATCCTGACCTTCTATTCCCATAATAATAATAATAACAGCAAATGTTTATGGAACACATACTACCTGGAAGATACCACTCTAAGCAATTTATATACACAAACTCATCTAATCTTCACAGTGACCATACTGAGGTAGGTTATATTTCCCCATTTTATAGATGAGGAATCTAAGGTACAACCATGGTACTTTCCTAAAATTACAAAGCTGCTGGTACTAATCTTGCATGTTCCCTATCTCCTTCATAACTTATCACTCCAAGCTACGAAGGTAAATTAGCACTACTAATGGAAAATACAAAATCTCATATATCCTCCAAACTGCCACCATCTTCAATTAGGATCGATCATGCTTATGTTCTCTAGTTTTCAGAAATTAGAAATAAAAAATTGACCAAGGTAGCCTACATTCAAACATCTCCAGAAGCAAGAAAAATGTTCTTAGAAGAAGTGATATTCTTACCAAGTGATTGGTTCAGAAAATGAAATATAAAAACTTGTCAAGAGAATTATAATTTATTTAATTCCTTCTGTACCTCTCAAGGGAGATGAAGATAATTTTTTTTTCTTTTAAATCAAACTCATAAATGTTTTGCATGTATTTGCCAAGCTGAAATAATATATAGTATATTGGCTACGATGTAGAAGAAACTCCCAAAATCAATTCTTTTCTTTAGGTAAGCATCTTTTTTAAAAAATTTTTAAAGGAAAGAAATTACTATTAGATGACCAAGGCCTCACTCAAAACTATATCTAGATATTTTTTTAAGTTCCTGTTATGACCAAAACTTTAATTTACAATTCTCCATTGAAGGTGATGTGAAAAACAGTAATTAAGTGGGCGATGGATACAAGTGAGTGTGTGACTCATCATTTGCAAAGGAAAATGATTTTGGGGAAAAGGCTCAGGAAGAGAAAAAGCAAATAATTGATTCTGCAAGAAATGCAGACCTTTCCTGTCCAAGGACTGTCACCAGTTCTTTATTACTTGAAGATTAAGGGAATACTGAATAAAGCTGTCTGCCAGACAGCAGGAAAGGTAAGAAATAACACTGTCTCTAAATGTACCTCATAAGAAAGCACTCAGAAATGCATTCATAAAATTAAACTTTTTATGAAGTTACTAGAAAACCCAACTCAAATCTGAACAATGGAAATGTCAAAATAAAACAACATTACATTTGTCAGGAACTTGAACAGAATGAAACAGCATGGTAGGTCAAGTTGTAGACTGTCTGTAATTTTATTCCACTTTGTTTTAGAAAACCACAGATCCAATACTGATTTAGTAGGAGACTTGGTGGCGTTTGCATTTGGTTGTTTTTCTACTTAATGGGTCAGTGTAAAATAATTTGTTTTTTACTATTAAGTTTCACCAAATTTAGGCAATTTGTTTCTCATTCCACATGTCAAATACAAGCCATTTAATTGAGTTTTACTTCTTTAGTAACTGCCCCATCCTACTCATATGTATCTCGAATATATTGTATATATTTATATATACTTTATAAAAAACACATTTAGATAAAGATATTATTATCTTTGCATTATGAACCTTAAAGACAATGAAGAGAATTTCATTTTGATGAAGTCATATTTAATAGGTTTTATCCAACTTAATTTTTTAACTTAATTCTTAATTTACGTTTTCATATGCATTGTAGAGTCCCTACTATGCAACAGCACTGAGCTAGGTGTCTAATACATATTATCTATTTAAGAATACTAGGTTTATTTTGTTATATACTGCCTGAAGATAAGGAAACAGAGAATTGTTATAAAGCGATCTAAGTCATATCACTGATGGGCTTATATATGAGCAACATCCAGCCATTCTAGCATAACTTATGCATATAACTTAGAAATTTACTCATGAAAACTGTGCGATCTAATTTGAAGAAGTCTCAAAAAAAATTAACAGCTCTGTGTATGAATGATCACACATGCATGTTAGACAACAGATTCAAACTTGGGCAGTTCAATTAAAGAAGGTATGACTTTTTAAATGAAAATGACTGATTTAGTTAATAACAGTAGTTTCTAGAAAAGGGGGGCATGTTTCTGAAAATTATCAGCTTTAATTGTAAATAACATTTGAAAATATTTTACTATAATAAAGATTTTTTTCCCATTTGTAAATATGCTTAATTTTCAGGAGGTTTCTTTTTGTTTTTGGCTATCATATCACCTAATATTTTTGTGATCTCTTTATAGATATTAAAGCATTTTCATATTTTAGACCTTATGTAATCTTGTCAGCAATGGTATAAATAACTCAAGTGTGATTAATATTATGTATTAATATTAATACTATGGGTGATATTAATACCAGATAGTCAAACATTTTTCTGGATTTTTTCTGTGAAGCTGTTTTTTTGTTTTTGTTTTTTAATGAGATTAACACTTACAATTATTGGATTGGATAAAGCAGATTATCCTCCATAATATGCAACTTATCTAATTTAATTGAAAGCTTTAATAGAGCAAAGACTGACTCCTGGAACAAAAAGGAATTCCGCCAGCAAACTGCCTTTGGACTCAAACTGCAACTCTTATCTGGGTCTCTAGCCTGCCAGCCTACTGTGCAGATTTTGGACTTATTAACCCTCTATAATCATGTGAATTAATTCCTTAAACATAAATCAATCAATCATCCTCCCTTTGTCTCTTCCTCTCTCCACCCCCCCTCTCTCTCTACACACACATACACACACACACACACACACACACACACACACACAAACTTTCTCTAAGAAAACAGAGAACAGGAATTCAGATCTTTACCTTTGTCTACAGTCATTCCTGAAAAGATGCTAAAATTCTCAAGGAGATGAAAAGTAGAATTCAGTTTCCATGCCATACCACTTAGCCAGTCTAATGTTCTTTTTCTTTTAAAATACTTATCTGACAAAACTAATCAGCTCTGGAAAACAGTTTGGCAGATGCTCAAAAAGTTAAGCATAGAGTTGTCATCTATTTCACGCCTAGGTATATACTAAGAGAATTGAAAACATATTGTCAACACAAAAAGCTGTACATGAATGTTCATAGCAGCATTATTTATAGTAGCCAAAATGCGAAAACATAAATGTCATAAGTTGAAGAATAGATTTTTTTTTAAAAGTGGTACATCCATACAACTAAATGATTCAGGGATAAAATGCTACAACGTAGATGAATCTTGAAAACATGCTGAGTAAAAAAAGGCAGATGAAAAAGGCTACATATTGTATAAATCCACTTATATCAAACTAGAGGCATCTCAGCCTAGCCTGCACCCTCTCGCAATCCAGGACCTATAGGGGGACGTCATGCTGCCAGTTTCGGCGTGATCCTCACAGTCGGGTCAAAACTGGCAGTCCGACATCCCACAAGGGAAGAAACAGTGCTCAAAGCAGCAGGTAGCTGGGGAGGAGCCCGTCATGGCCGATGCAGTCAGCTCCAGCTCATCCTGGCCCTGCTGTGGTTGCCAATGTTTGGTAGCACTGCCATGGAGGTGGAAGAGGCTCACATCACCACAGCTGTGCTTGCCAGCCATGAGACCAGCTTCTGGCTGAGCAGAGCTACCACTGTGGGAGCACACTAACCACCTGGGGGCAGCTCTTGTATTGAGCGTCTGCCCCCTAGTGGTCAGTGTGCATCACAGCTACTGGTCAAGCGGTTGACCAGTCCAGTGGTTGACCACTCACGTAGGCTTTTATATATATATAGATGTCAATGTCAGGCAAATTCATAGATAAAAAAATAGATTAGTGGTTGACAGAAGTAAAAAAAAAAAGGGGGGGGGAGGGGAGACAACAGCCCAGCCTGCATAGCTCAGTGGTTGAGTGTTGACCTATGAACCAGGAAGTCAAGATTCTATTCTGAATCAGGGCACATGCCCTGGTTGCAGGGCTCAATCCCCAGTGTGAGGCATGCAGGAGGCAGCCTATCAATGATTTTTCTCTCATCACTGGTGTTTCTATCTCTCTCTCTCCCTCTCTGAAATGAATTAAAAAAAAAAAAAAAAAACACACACACACACACACACATTAAAAAATATTTTTTTTTAAAAAGGAAGACATTAGAGAGTGAATACTTTCAGGTATTGAGTTTCATAATAGAGTGATGAAAACATTCCTGAATTAGGCAGTGGTGATCACTGCAAAATATTGTGAATATACTAAAACCCACTGAGTCACGCAATTTAAAATTATTAATATTAAGATAAGTAAGTTATATCTCAATTGAAAAATAAAAGCAAATCAACTTACCTGCCCTTTTTGTGGTGCCAAACAACGAACAACTTCATCCACCATTACTGGGATATGTAGTTTACTCATAGCTTCAGAATCTCTGTCTTGAGATCTGTGTAACTCATGAGATCCAACTTGATTTGTTTGCTCCCGGGCTTCAAATTCATCACATTGTTCTGATGTAGCATGTATCCGTTTTGGGCAGACACCTAAATTAAATATGCCAGCTTCCAACCAACATGAAAGAAATTCTTTATAGGTTCTACAAAAGTGTGGATAGCGAAGCATTCTGAACGTCAACAAATCTAGAAAAGAAATTTTAAATATCATGATTGTTGGATTTTTTAAAAGGATGTTATAATACTTGGGGAAAAGCAAATTAATATATAATATGTACCACACAAAAATGAGTCAGATTCATCATCTCAAACAAGTCTGAGTGACTAATCTCCTTATACAAAGCAAGGAACATAAAACAATTTAAGAAACAATCTGAAAATGTAATTTAAAAAAAATATATATATTCTATTGATTTTTTACAGAGAGGAAGGGAAAGAAATAGAGAGCTAGAAACATCGATGAGAGAGAAACATGGACTAGCTGCCTCTTGCACACCTCCTACCGGGGATGTGCCCGCAACAAAAGTATGTGCCCTTGACCGGAATCGAAACTGGGACCTTTCAGTCCGCAGACCAATGTTCTACCACTGAGGCAAACCAGTTCCGGCTGAATATGTAATTTTTAATGTAGCCTAATTAGCCCCAAGACCATTAGTGTTTTAACCATAAGAAATGTGAAAATTAATTACTTAATGGTCATTTTTCTGAAATATACTTTTTTGAATTTTAATAGTAGTCTAAAGAACAAGTTCAATGCATTAGAACTATTTATTTGAAAAAGTTATCAGGATGACCGAAGGGATTATAAATATTATCCTGTTAAGTATAGGTGATTTTTTTATTTCAAGTTCTTCTATTTGTTTATCTCATAATACCAAGACTTCATCTTCAATTTAACTTTGAGAAAGCATTTCTGGAAAAAGACTATGAATGTACATCCAAAAATAAAGGGAGGTGTTCACTGTCCCAGAAAAATAAAAATCTCACAATTTTGCTGTGGATACTCTCTGAGACCATGTCACCATGACCTATTTCATGAAATACTTTTCAATCTAAACTATAACTTTATAAACACTAAGCTGAGCATATTTGCCATTTCATAAGCACCATTGCTTTATCAGTTCCTTAACCTAAAAAATAAATAAAAGTGAAAAGTTGATATATCCTTCCCTTTTTTATACTTGCTCTATTTTATTCTATAATAGATAACTCTTTAAAACACAGAAGGAATGTAAATGTATTAATAGAAGATCTTTTGAAAACATTTTGCCTTTTTGCTCAACTGGTTGTAAACAACACTTTTGATGTGACATACTTCAGTAAGTAACAAATTAACACAACTCTCTCCAGTGAAATATGAGTCATATAGGAGAAAAATCCACACCTTTATATTGAAAAAATTAGATGTGCACTAGGTGCCTAATGTTTTCTGAAAAGAAAATAAATGGATAAATTCCAGATTCTACAGAATTAACATTTTTATCAAGGTTTGTTTTAGAAAATTTCACTTCTCTGACCAACCTTACAAAAACTTTCTCAAAATACTTTAAAAAAAAAAAACCACATAAATCCCATTTAAACATGCATTCCTTCAGTTTTGCAATAGAAATTGAAGAATAATGTTGAAAAGCTAACACATGTAATGACTATAGAAGAGATGCAAATATATCTATCTCTACATATTCAATATTATGTAAATATAATATCAACAAGATATCCTTGAGGATAACATGTCAACTTTACCAAATTCATAATAGCTGTACCAGTTAATAATGTGGATTTTATAATCAAAGAAAACATGATAATTTTAAGAGAAACATCAAAAGTGCTTTATTCAAAGTAATGTCCATTACTAGATACACATTTCCCCATCTTTAGGTAATTTGTGGATACCGTCCCAATAGAACTTTTCTTGTTTTGAGACAAACCATTCAGAAACCCAATTTTCCACTTCTTCATACATTTTGAAGTCCTGCTCAGAAAGTGCATGCACCATCAATCAACAAGTGGTAATCTGAAGGAGCAAGGTCTGGTGAATATAGCGGGTGGATTAATACTTCCCAGGCAAGATTTTTTAACATGTCTTTAACTGGTTTTAAAGTTTGGAATGGTGCATCATCATGAAGCAAAATTACTTTGCCATGTCTTCTGGCACATACTGGTTGTTTCACAATCAAAGCATGGTTCAAATTGATTTTTTGTTGTCCAGAGCAATCAGTATTAACTTTTTCACCTGGTTTTAGAAGCTCATAATACACCACACCTTCCTGATTCCACCAAATGCAGAGTAATGTCTTCTTTCCAAAGAGATTTGGCCTTGCAGTTGACGTTGATGGTTGGCCTGGATGGATCAACCCATGATTTTGTGCATTTGGGATTCTCAAAATAAATCCACTTTTTATCACCAGTCACAATTCAATGCACAAAGGACTTCCTTTCGTGCCACTGAATCAACAATCTACTGATTACTTTTTGGTTTTCAATTTGTCTTTCATTTAGTTGATGTGCACCCATTTTCCTTCCTTGAAAATCTTCCCCATTGCTTGTAAATTATCAGAAATTGTTTGCTGAGCAACATTTAATCTTTCTGCAAGTTGTCTTTGAGTTTGACACACATCTTCATTCAATAATGCTTATAATTGTTGGTCTTCAAACTTTTTTGGTTGACTTGGACGTTCTTTGTCATTCACACTGAAATCATCATTTTAAAGCCTTTAAATCAGCATTCACAAGTATCCTGAGATGAAGCATGTTCACCATAAGCTTCCTGAAGTATTCAGCAGCACTTTTCTTCAAAATAATGAATTAAAACTTTCTACAAATGCTCTTTTTGGTTGGCACGAAATTTGACACATTTAAGCATAAAAATATCTATGATGTTAACACCTTCAGAAAATTTGACATATGAAGTTTGAAGCTTGCTGTCAATACAACAAAATAGTATACATATCAAATTGCATATATATCAACATATGTGTACCTCCATCTATTGAAAAAAAAATCTGCATTATTAACTGGTCCACCTAGTACACAGAATTATGTGGCAAAGGAAATATATGGCAAAAACAAAATTATATATGTGTGTGTATATATATATATATATGTATATATATATATACACACACATATATAATTTAAAACAATATATAATTTAAAACAATCTAGTTTTATTTAAAATGCTCATTTCCTACATATATATATATGTAAGAAAGGTCTGGTGAATATATATATATGTAGGAAATGAGCATTTTAAATAAAACTAGATTGTTCAGCAGTAACAAATTAGCCAAATGAATAATTATGCTTTATGTTTGCTAGAAAGTGTATATAAGTAAACTCAACCATCTTTTAACTTAGTATTTCTAACATTTTTTACAAAATAAAAGCGTACATTTATTAAGCACTTACTAAGTACCATAATAATTGTAATAAACACACACATACTAAGTCATTCAATCCTTACTACTTTTAGAGGTAGGAACTATCATTTCCATTGTAAAGAAGAGGAAAACAAATAAACACTGTGTGAAAAGGTCAGATAGCTCTAGGGCATAAAGCTAGAAGCGTAACTCCAGCATTCCATCCCCAGAGCCTGAAATTTTAACCTCTATGCTATAAACATAGAGACAACTGGCTCTATTTAATACACGTATGTAGCTGAAGAGCACTTTAATTATACTGACTATGTATTATAGTATCTCATAAATTATATTCTTTTTTTCTTTTCTTTTTTTTTTTTTAAGGAACCAATATCCTAGCTATTGCTTGGTCCTACTCTACATGGGAATATAATATACTATGGGGTACCCAACAGAGGTCAAACATTATATAGGTCTAAATAGTGCAATCTGAAGTATCTAAACAATCTAAATTGTGTGTCCAGACTTTGATAATGTTTAAAACACAGAACATCAATTCCTATATAGGAATCAGAACCACCTGGGACAAAGCAAGGAGGGTAGGGAAAAAAATGCTGCCTTTGACAGCAATTAAATTCTATATTCAATTTCTATTTACTCAACTACGTTCAAAATACAAAGCCTGAAGATTTTATTATGCACCAATTGGCTACTACTAGTCAAATGGGTTAACATGGAGTAAGGGCCACAATAATTTTCTTCTTTGGGTGTTTCCTTGAATACCTTGCAAGGAGGTAACTACAAAGTTCCTTCTCTATCTTCTAATGCCCAATCTCCTACCAGAAACCCAAAAGCACTCCTGCAATCCTCCAGAAACCAGCCACCCTACATGATGTAAGCAGGCAATATATGCACCCTCTGGTCACAGCAGGGAAGCAGGGGGTCAGGAAACCTGGCCCAATCCGTGGCTTCCTAAATCACTGAACTTTCCTTTGCACCAAAGTCCGGTTTAGCTGTTGAGACCACGGAATCGGGCAGGTTACTCTTTTAACTGTCGAAGCACAAACGTGAGCGATACAACTTCCTCAGAGGAGCTAACCATTGCCATCATTGCAAGTCCGTTTTCTCCGCAGAGAAAACTTTTGAGAACTTAATTCCTGAACCCGGAGACTGGCGCCGGAACGCAGAGAATGTGAACGCTCTAAAGGAAAAAATAAAGGGGGGGGGGGGGGATGGATTAAAACATCCTTTGGCCTAAGAATTCTCCTAGGTCGACGTAAAACTGTAGAAAGTTCTGAACTCAGGATGAATGAGCGCGGAGGAAGGGAAGCGGGCGGTGGGAGAAGGGGCGCTGTCTCCTTTGTCGGGGGAACTGGGGGCCTCCAGAAGGTCCCCCCCAGGCGCGGGGGGAGCTCCCGGGCCTGGGCCGCCGTCTCCTCACCTGAAGAACCAAGATGTCTCAGCTGGCCTCTAAACCGGGACACCCACGGCCACTAAGGGGAACTGAACTGGTGGCACGCCTCCGTCCCAGCCTGGGGGAAACTTGAAAAGACGGACAGACGGGGCCTGCGTCCCGCCCACAACCGGGACCTGCGCCTTTGGTTCCGCGCTTCCAGCCCCTCTGCCCAGGCAGGGCCTTGCAGGCGCTGGAGTCTCCAAAAGGTGCTCCTTGGTGGGGAGAGGGAATTGGTATTAATAAATAAGACCCTAGCAATGTCAGGGTTTAGTTCACTTTTTCTTTTTCTTTTTAAATGTCAGATGCAACTTTAAATCTAACTTTCCATTTTATACTTGCCTCCGCTCTTCATTT